ATGGGACTTGAACCCACAAACCGTGAGATCACGACCTGAGCCGAAGTTGGATACTCAACTGACTGAGCCACCCGGGCTCCCGGAATGGCTAAAATGGAAAGGCCTGCCAATACCAAGTGCTGTAGAACATAGGAAGCAATTGGATGGCTCACTCATTGGTGGTGAGTATGCAAATACAGTATAGAGCCTTTGGAAAAACAGTTTGGCAAGTTCTCATAACATCAAGCGTACACATGGCATGAGACCCAGAAATCCCATTCTTGGGTATTTTCCCAAGGAAGGAGAAACATATGTTCACACAAAAACCTGTGTATAAATGTTTAGAGCAGATTTATTGATAACAGTCCAAAACTGGAAAGAACCCAAGTGTCCATCAATCAGTGATTGGATGTTGTATATCCGCGTAGAGCAGTCGTCCTCGGCGACGGAAAGGGACAAGCTCCTGATATATGCAACACCATGAACACATCTTAAAAGCTAAATTAAGGAAGCCAGACACAAGAGGTAGCATGTTGCATGGTGCAACCGATAAGACATTTTAAAAATACAAAATTATAGGGAGAGAAAACAGACCAGTTTTTCCCGGAGAAGAGGGCTGGAGGGAGAGGTCTGACTTCAAAGGGGCATGAAGGAAATTTGGGAGGGTGGAAATGCTGTACATCTTCATTGTGATAACAGTTACACAGCTGTAAACATTTGCCCAAACTCATCCAGCCATATATGTTCAAGTAAAAAGGACCAAGGCTGGGGGATGGACAGAGGCAGGCAAGGGACGGAGTTTGGAAAGTATGAGAGGAATTCAGGAGAGGGAGAGTTTTGTTTTGTTTTTTTACTAAAGTCAATCAAAAGGTCTTGTATGAAGACGGCATTTGAGCTGGGCTTCGTTAAGTAGAAATAAAAGAGTATTCCAGGGGTTACACGAGTTGCGGATGACCTGGCAAACAGTAGGTGCTTAATAAATATTTGTGGAATAGACGCAATGATGAAGGGACAGTGAGCGAAATCCAGAGAAAAGTATGGAAAAATTGGGGGTGACAGTCGGCTTGGCTGGGGCTTGTGTTGGGGGAGAGAGGTGGGCTGCACAACTAGGGAATGGGCAGACGGTTTTGCATACCAGGCTAATGAGTTCAGACTTTATTTTTAGGAAGCCGACTGAAGTTTGAATAGGGGAGTGACACGTCTAGAATGAGAAGTTCCGGAAGGCTGATCTGCCTCTGGTAATGGTCTCTCGTATCGATGCAGGAATAGGAGGCAGAGAGGAACCGAAGCCATCAGACGCCAAAAATGGTGGCCCGGATTGGGGTGACCGTAAGGATTAAAGAGGAGGAATAGATTAGGAGACAAAATGAAGAGGGCCCGTTGACCTCACTGCCGATTGGAGTGGAGGAGGGTGGAGGACCAAGAAGGGAAACTGAGGTCTTAGGCCGTTGGGAAGGGTGGCATCAAGAGGAAAGAAAGGTGGAAGAGGAGGAGATTGTGACGGGCCAACACAAGTGCCGTGAGGGCAGACTGGACGCCCTAGGGCCTGGAAAGTGGGCCACGCAGGGGTGCGGCTTAGGGGAGCCTGGACAGGGGGCGGTGATGCGGCAGCCATCGGCGCACATTCCGGCTGGGGCCTGTCTTTGGGGGAAAGCGCTAACATCCCAGAGTACGCGAATCCAGAGCCGGTCCGCGGGCCAGAGGCTGAGGCCGGACTGCCTGCTGATTTCCAGTGTTCACCCGGACTGGCCGCGAAGAGCAGGGTTCCCGTGTCCACCCCGCGCAAAGCTCTGGACTCGGAGCTCAAGGTGCCCTCGCTGCAGACCGCTTACCCAAGGCGGGACGGGGGGCGCGCGCGCAGCCCAGCGCGAGCTTTCAGGGCCGAGGCGCGCGCAGGCGCGGCCGGTGTCGCCTAGCAACCAAGAGCAACAGTGGCCTCGGAGGCGCGCGCGGACGGCGGCGGGTGCGGTTCTCCGGGCGCGAGGGGCCGCCGCTCGGCGGGATCCGCCGGCAGGTAAAGGCGGGCGTGCGGCTGCGCGGCTACTCCCGCGGTTTGGAGGGGCCCGGGGCCGAGGTCCCCGCAGAATTGGGGCAAGGGGGAGGTGCCCAGCGCGTGGGGGCCTCTGGGACAACCGACGGAACGAATGCCTCGTTGGGGGTTGTCGGTCCCTGCCCTGTGCGTCCAGTATCAGCCGGGGATCCGGGTGGGTTTCCTAAGCATCCTGGCCTCCTTCCGTTTAACAGGTGACAAAACAGGCCCCGAGAGGGGATCTGAGAGTCTAAGATTCCGTTCCGTGCCTCCCAGCAACTCAGGAAACGAGTCCCCACTGGCTGTAGTCTTCCCCCTTCCTTCACAGTTTTTAAAATAAGGCTCCTCCTCAGAAAACATTTAAGATCGCACAGGCTGAAAGCTCACAAAGAAGTGCAAACGGTCGACAAATTTGTGGGGGGAAAGCGTGGCTCCTTTCTAATGACGGAGGAGGTGCCCATTTAAAGCAGATTTGTTTTTGTGCTCAGTGCGGTGAAGTTCATGCCTTTTCATCCAGTTATTTGCCTTTCTCTTAAGCAGTTGAGGACGTGGATGAACATTTTATGTCTAAGGAGGTTCATTGCAGCCGTATCCATAATTTCAGGAAATGAGAAACAAATGTTCAACAATAGGGGACTGTCTAGGTACATAGTGGATTTGACAATAGTATTTTCAATGACATGATATGCTGATTCACTGGAGATGATTGGAGCAATGAATGGACACAGAGATTTCACGAACCTGTCCATTAGTGTAAAAAAGCAGCAGGAAAGGAGGACACTTGTGGGGATGAGCCCTGGGTGTTGTCTCTAAGTGATGAAGCACGGGAATCTACCCCCAAAACCAAGAGCACACTGTACAGCCGGTATGTTAGCCAGTTTGACAATAAATTATATCAGAAAAAAAAAAAAGAAGAATATGGTAGGCAAATGGTTCCAGGAAAGGAAGTTGAGAATAGGAGATCGAAACCCATGTAGCATGGTAAAATCCCTATAGAAAACACACAAAAAGGAACTATCCTGAAACAGTGCTAATCTCCCTGAGTTTATTCCTGAGTGATTTTTTTTTTTTTATTCCATGTGCCCTTCCTTGTTTTCCAAATTTTCTGTAATGAAATGTCTTCTGTATAACTGGACAGTAGACACAGAACTATACAGTTAAGCAGGGTTAAAATGGTAAATTTTATGTTGTGTATATTTTAGCACAATCGAAAACATCACTGGGGAGGGTGGTAAAATAGTCAAGGAAAGCAGGTGTGCTTCAAAAAGTCAAAGGGATTTGTTTTTGTTTTTGTTTTTTTTATTTTTAAAGTGTTTGTTTATTTTTGAAGGAGAGAGAGACGGAGTGTGAACAGGGGAGGGGCAGGGAGAGTGGGAGACACAAAATCCGGAGCAGGCTCCAGGCTCTGAGCTGTCAGCACAGAGGGCCATGGGGGTTCTCTCGAACCCACAGACTTGAGACATCATGACCTGAGCCAAAGTCAGATGCTTAACTGACTGAGCCACCCAGGCGCCCCAGGATTTGTTTTCTTAATGTGGCGTCTCTGGAGCTTTAGAGGCAAACAAATCTTTAAAGAATAAACGAACATAAGATAATGTGGTTGTATCGTGTTGATTTTAAGTGAAATGTTGAATTTACAACGTTAAAAAAAAAAACACCTTACGGTCATCTTTGAGGCTCATCGCCCCGATCTATGTCAGCTAAATACTTTGTCCCCCATTAACTACTATACTCAATTTGGTAATAAAAACACAAACTAAATGCTTCCTACTTTACGGTACTGCCTGGGATCGACTCCATTGCTGTCGTCCTGTGTTAAGGCAATTCTAACCTCTGTACTCTTCAGTATGCAGTTACTCAAAGCCACTGTCCTGAAATGGGAGAAAAATCAGTTCCTGAGTGAAAATCAGATGATGTACGGTAATTTAGTGCAAGTATAATTCAGTTCTTCTTAAACATTATTCATAAGGAATTCTTCTGTAAATCAAAGGCTGCTCTACCTTGGAGTCGATTACGAAGCACTCTAAAATTTCTTTTTCCTAGAGATTAATCGCAAGATAGATTTGCATTTGTCCAGAATGGTTTCTGTCCATCTGCCTGGAATATCATAAACACAAAATCTAGGGTCTGTGTGCTTTTCAAACACCCATGAAAGATGTTTGAGTTTTGAAAAAAGTATTGCCTCTAAAATCTGAAAAGAAACTTGAAAAATTAATGTAAATGTTTTAATATTAAATTATATTTGAGAACAGTTTTCTCATTTTGCAAGAAGTTTGAGGTATACAGCCTGCTGAATAATTTCAAATGCTTGATTTCAAAACTTTATGTGATGAAAATCATATTTAATGGGGAATGTGGGTACATTTTAATGTTTTAATATACTGGATGTGAGGGAGGGCATCACAGCGTAAGCTTGCCCAGACCCTCAAAGATCTTGAAATTTATGTGACCTGAACTGAGGGATCTGGATGTCTTTCAGAAGCCCCGAGGAGTTTCTATGAACACGTGGCGTTTTAAAACATGTGATAAATTCTGGTTAGTGCCTCTAATGCTAAGAGTTGCTTTTGTCCCTTGAGAGACCATCTGAACCAATCCTGACATTGTAGATTCTCACCAAAGATTTTTGACTTCCCAGAATTTTCTGGAAACTGTACTAATTTTCCTGAGACAGGTTTGTAGCATCTGAGATTGCCCAAATGCCAAACATAACCTCTCACTGGAGAAAACTCGAAAGGTTTCTAGAGTTATTTATTCTAACAGTCCCCAACATCTTGGAAAGTCCTCTGTACCCAGATGGGGTTACTGCTCTGTGGTTTATCAGCTGTCAGTACCAATCCTTTGACTTTTTGTCTGCACAGTTATGGACATACGAGGGCAGGTAGAAACAGGTCTTGTAAGCAGTAACCCCAACTTCTCCAGAATACGTCTCTTCAGATTCTCAATTACTTTTTTTTTTTTTTAATTGAGCTATGGATTATATTAGAGAAAACTTTTGGTTATCTGGAAAATGACACCAACGTTCATTTGGCGTTGCCTTGTCTTGGGTATCAGTCACAAAATCATACTCCCAGGAAAAACAGAGTTAATGATTTTTATACGTATCGAATAGCTACCATGTACCAGATACTGTTGGGATAGATCAGTGCAGGAAAGCAGACAAAAATCCACCCCTTTGTGGCAGAACATTCTTGGAGCTCTCAAAAGTAAATTGGATTTAGTCTCCTAAGCACCCCATCAGTGAGCTATATGCATGGTAAACTGTTTCCCGTTATGTAAGTGAAAGTTATGCCATGGATGTGTTCTCTTCCTTACAAGCTGGAAGCCAGGTCTGATGCCCAACAATCTTAACAGTAAGTTCCTTAAAAACTGTGGCATTTGAAATAAGACTGCAGGTAACATATTTGTACATGTACGACCATTTCTACCTATATCACATCATCTCTTTTTTAGGTAAAATTTATTTTTTTTTGATTAATTTATTTTTTTTTCAACGTTTATTTATTTTGGGGACAGGGAGAGACAGAGCATGAACGGGGGAGGGGCAGAGAGAGAGGGAGACACAGAATCGGAAACAGGCTCCAGGCTCCGAGCCATCAGCCCAGAGCCCGACGCGGGGCTCGAACTCACCGACCGCGAGATCGTGACCTGGCTGAAGTCGGACGCTTAACCGACTGCGCCACCCAGGCGCCCCATGGTAAAATTTAAATGAGGAAATAAATCTCCTTCGAAGGGCATCCATAGGTAACTGAGAGATTTGTGCATATACAAGGTACAAATGACACTTTAACTAATTACTGCATCTTTTTCCAGAATGGGTAAAAAGGTAAAGAAGGAAGCAGAACCCCCTCCTAAGGATGTGGTAAGTTTCTGATTTTAAGACTAGTAGCACGTTAACAACCAGTTTTAAAAATAAATTGTTCCAACTGTTTGGCATGTACCAGCATATACATGAGTACACATTGGCAGAAGTCCAAAGTCTGACTAATGATAAGATTAGTTAGAGAAATCTAACATTATATAAACAAACATTTACAACGTTGTCATTACATAATCAGCACAATTAGAGAGTAATTATTAGCTTTTCCAGGATGCGGATGGCGTGTTTATGGGCCTAGTTAATGACCAAATAGTTTTGGTTTGTTCTTTTAAATATTTTAAATTGATATTTGCTGGTCCCTCGTTTATGTTAATCATCCAAGTGCGTTTTCAAAAATAACTAGGAGTTTATGCTATAGCTATTAGCTCTGTATATGAGGTTGTCTGAAATGACCATTTGAACATCAGAAGGCTCGTATTTTCCAGTTCTATGGAGAGAAAAGTCTGGGTTCATCATCTTTTTCTGTTCCAGATGTTTGAGTAATACATTGCCTAAAACACAAAGCCCTGTCTCTCTTTTCAAAGTATGTTTTTATCTTATTTCTCTAAGGTTTATGAATTACCAAAAGATGATGTTACAAATAAAAAATAAACTTGGACAGTTTTCAGATTAGAAACTTATTTTGAGGGACACCTGCCTGGCTCAGTCGGTGGAGCGTGTGACTCTGGATCTCGGGGTTGTGAATTCGAGCCCCACGTTGGGTATAGAGATTACTCAAAAATCAAATCTTAGGGGCACCTGGGTGGCTCAGGCAGTTGAACGTCCGACTTCGGCTCAGGTCATGATCTCACGGTTCACGAGTTCGAGCCCCGCGTCGGGCTCTGTGCTGACAGCTCAGAGCCTGGAGGCTGTTTTGGATTCTGTGTCTCCCTCTCTCTCTGCCCCTCTCCCGCTCCCTCAAAAATAAATAAACATTAAAATAAATGAAGAGATGAAAAATCTTTAAGAGCGAAAAGAAACTCATTTTGAAACAGACATTTGGTGTGATTTTCTTCAAGTAAAATGTGACTGAAAAAAAGTGTTTATGGTCCGTCAGTAGACTCACAGGGATTTTATAGTTTGAAGGAAGCTGGGCTTAGTGCAAGGTCTTTCCAACAGCACTGGAGCTTTGCGGTTACAAATGTGAGCTACGCCCCAGCTCTGCGTCTCATGACCTGTGTTATTTGGCACAGCGTTGCCAAATGTGGCCATGTTCTTTCAGTTCTTGTTTGAAATTTCTTCAGTGTGAATTGTGAGGCCCAACTCGTTTTGGTTGTTGTGTGAATTAAAATGAAGTAAAGCTCATCACGGTTCTCAGTGCCTGGCACATAGTTAACGCTACTAAATAAGACCTAATGTTGCGGGTCTCCTTTCGACTCTGATACACAGACCCACACAGACACACACCTATGTAACTTCCTGTGTTTGATCCTTCAATACAGTTGGGAACGAAGACTCCAGAAGTATCTGTCTGGGGGCACCTGGGTGGCTCAGTCAGTTAACCGTCTGACTCTTGAGTTCGGCTCAGGTCATGATCTCACGGTTCCTGAGATCTGGCCCTGCGACGGGCTTTGTGCTGATACTGTGGAGCTGGCTTGGGATTCTCGCTCTCCCTCTCCCTCTCCACTGCTTCTGTGCACTCTCTCTCTCAAAAGAAATAAACTTAAAAAAATAAAACGAGATGAAGGAGAAGCATCTGTCTGCTCCGGTCTAGGAACACTTTGGAGAGATAGATGGCCATTGTGGTTCATGATACAGTTTCATCATTCCAGTTGCTCTCTTTTGGACATCCTCCTAAAATGTTCCAAATTCTCTTATTTTTTTTCATTGCCACTTAAGTTTGAATTATCCCTTTTTGCTGCAAAATAGCATTTTTAGAAAAAAGATTTTATTTTTAAGTAATCCCTATGCCCAGCATGGGGCTCGAACTCACAACCCCGACTGAGCCAGCCATTTTCCCCGGTCAATATCATTATTGACATCTCATTACCGGAAAGTGGACTAATGAACACAGTACTTGATGACAAACATTTTCTGATGAAAATTAGAATTAAGGGACCGTTAACCAATAGATATATTTGTCTAATACACCTCCTATAATTTTGTAATGTTTTGCTGGCTTGTCCTCCGTATTCCAGTCCTTGGGGGGCACAATCAAGGACTTGAGAAACAGTTTTAAACCTAGCGTTAACAGAAAACTAGCTCTTCTTTCTCAGTTCACGAGAGCCTTAGGGACAGCCAAAGCATATGTAGTGGCCAATGTCAAAGAAATTGCTGTCTATGTTTTCTTCTTGGAGTTTTATGCTTTTAGGTCTCATAGTTGGGTCTTTTCATCCATTTTGGGCTTATTTCTGTGTACGGTGTAAGAAAGTGGTCCAGTTTCATGGTTTGTGTGACCATGTAAGCCTGGGTTTATTTCCGAGCTCTCTATTATGTTCCATTGATCTATGTGCCTTATTTCTGTGCCAGAATCATACTGTTTTGATGACGACCGCTTTGTAGTACGTCTTGAAATCTGGGATTGCGATACCTCCAGCTTTGTTCTACGTTGTCAAGGTTGCTTTGGCTATTTGGGATATTGTGTGGTTCCATACAGATTTTAGTATTATTTGTTCTAGTTCTGTGACAAATGTTGTTGGTATTTTGATAGGGATTGCACTAAGTATCCATCCATAGATGAATGGGTAGAGAAGATGTGGTATATATATATATATATATATATATATATATATATATATATATACAATGGAATATTACCTAGACATAAAGAGGATGCAGTCTTGCTGTTTGCAACAATATGGATGGAGCTAGAGGGTATAATGCTACAGGAAGTAAGTCAGACAGAGAAAAATAAATACCCTGATTTCAGTCAAAAGTGGAATTTAAGGAAAAAAAGAGATAAACAACAACAACAAACAGACTTTAAATACAGGGAACAAACTTGTTAGTGGTTGCCAGAGGGGAGATAGGTGGGGAATGGGAGAGATTAAGAGTCTACTTATAGTGGGCGCCTGGGTGACTCAGTTAAGCGTCCGACTTTGGCTCAGGTCATGATCTTGACGTTCGTGAGTTCGAGCCCCGTGCTGGGCTCTGTGCTGACAGCTCGGAGCCTGGAACCTGCTTCAGATTCTGTGTCTCCCTCTCTTTCTGCCCCTCCCCTGTTCCCACTTTCTCTCTCGCTCTCTCTCTCTCAAAAATAAACATTAAAAAAGAGTATACTTACTGTGATGAGTACTGAAAAATGGATAGAGTTGTTGAATCATTACATTGTACACCATAAGCTAGTATAACACCGTATGTTAATTATGCTTTTTAAAAAAGTAGAGTGATCCAAAAAAAAAAGGACATATATAACAATTACCAATGGGCCTTGACCATGGCCTTTCCTCTTAGTCCTTCCATACTTCTCTTACTCTGACTATATGTTAATAAAGCTGGCAGATTAGTGTTAAACTATGTAACCACTTTCTATCTTGTGAATTCAAATACTTCAAAACAGTATACCACAATGTCAACTGTCTGAACTTGGCATTTGTGCCAAGGTATACCTCTTCAAAGTCTATGATATGAAAGGGTTCTTGTACAGAGTATAAAAGAAAACCAAATTTCAAAGATGGATGTATAACTGCTTTAAAAAATTAACTTTCCTGTGCCAACTAATAACAACTTGCTTCTTATTTCCAAAGATTCGTGTTGTTATTAGTCTTTTGTATACTAGTTAAAATGGGTAATGGGGACAGAAAGAAGAATGTTCAGTTATATGGTTAAAACAAAAAGCTCCCCTTGCTTTTCTTAATTTTCGAATCGTCAAAACATACGTTTAATATACGCCCGTATGGTTTATTGACCTCCATTCCTTCTCGTGAAAGCGACCACTAGCTAAGAAGATGCTTAGAGGCGGGGAAGATATCGGCTTGAACGACAGATGCAACTATAATCTACCTCCCCAAACATTTCCACGTCTGGCTGAAAGGTTGTTTGTGATGCTTTAACAAAAGGAAAACTTTCTATGGAATGATTGCATAAGAGAATTACTAATAGAAACAACCTTAGAAGGCAATATTTACTATAAGGCAAGATATTTAGGGACTAAGGATCCAGGCTCTGGAATTATACCGCCAGAGACTGAATCCTCACTCCATCTGGAGGCCAAGTTCCCGAACTCTGTATACTCCAGTGAGGATATAACGACAACCACTTCATATCTATTCACAGTGGGGAGGCAAGGTTAGGTAAATATGAGATGCTTAGAACAGCGCTTGGCACTAGATGAGAACTTGGTCAAAGTTGTTATTCTTCGTGATGTAATTGAGGGTACTGTTGATCATCCCACAAAACTTGAGAAGCTTTGCGCATTGTCAAAGGAGGCAGGGAGATCAGCTGTGGAAGACCAGCTGGCCACTAAAGTTCCTGGTGGCCTGGGGTGTGGCCCTCATGCTTCATGGTCAGGTTTTCAAGTTCATGAGCATGGAATTTTTATCTTCTTGATATTTCAGAGGCAACTGAGTTTCAGCGGACTAAATCCACAATATCTAAACTCACAAGGGACTGTGACCTGGTTCTGGAATCTCACTGTCAAGTTAACTGAACGTTTATGTATTTACGTTAATGGTTCTGCACCTTCTGTCCATAGTTAGGTGCAAATGGGGGGAGCTAAGCTCGCTGAGTGTTGAGTCAGAGCATCAGGCGACAGCAGGATCTGCTTCCTCACGTGGGTGACCAAACCCAGTTCCTTGGAAGAGTGGGATGTCTCCAGTGACTTGTCTTCCCCGGACGCTCCCGTCAACCTCAGAATGCAACCCTTAACGCGTTGTCACCGGCTGCAGAACCGCCTGGACTTATTTCAGAAACGAAGCTTCATGGGAATTAATTTTCCCACGTTTCTCCTACATCACAGATTTTAGAAAGTCATGATTTAAGAAAAATTAGTATAAATTAAGAAACATGCACAAAACTGTATTCTAAAAAAATCTTGCTTACCTTGCTCTAAAAGTTTAATTCAA